ATAAAGAAATGAAAAATTTTTTAAATGAAAATAGTCATAGATGACCAGAGAGGGGAGCATTAACTAATGGGCAAATTGGTGTGCTCCAAAGGAGGGGGGAGGAAGTGAAACAGGCAACAAAGAAAAAATAAAACTTGCTTTAGTTTAAGAAAGAACTGTGTGTACAGAGGTTATTGTAATTCAGGAGAATCAACTGAAGAGACTGACAATCTCTTGAATTGATGAAGGACAAAAGGAGAGAATGCAATATAGGAACATCAAAATGGAGCTGGAAAGTAGGCTTAGACAAAGATGCCTACTGTGCAGAAGAGTGGATAAGCAGTAAGCGGCAACATTCATACAGTGAAGTACTATGCAGCAACAGACACAGTGAGCTATTGATACGTGCAACAGGATGAATCTCAGAAACACATTAAACAATAGAAACTAGACATACCCAAAATGTGCTATATGATTCCATTCATATAAGATGCTCAATCATGGTCATATAAATCAGGAAGTGGGTTCTTGGGTGGGGGTGGAAGCGGGAGTGGGGGAGAAGAACTGACGGGAAAAGAGCAAAGGATCATTAATGGGGTGAAGTATAATAAAAATGGAAATAAAAGGAAAAATATTCACTAACTAGTATTTTGTTAATGCTCTGTATACATCAGGGTGGTGTTTAACCAAGTGTACTTAAGTGTCAAAAACTCACTGAGTGAAACCCCTAAGATTTGTGTGCTTTACTGTCTGTTAATTATACATCAATAAAAATATAATACAACAATGCATGCTGTGAAATCCTAAAACTGGGTAAGGAGTGGGTCAAAACCTGCCAATAAGCTTGCCAGTAGCCTAACCATGCCCCTGGAACGACTTAGAGATTAATCTACATGCCAGATATTGATCAAGAAACTTCAACTAGTATTTGTTTTAGTGACTGTGGCAGCAAAACATGGATGCCAAGCAACTCAGCAACCTAATGTCCCTCTCACATTGTCTTCCCAGCTATTTTAGATCCAAGTACACTTATTCTCTTATACATTAGCCTTTTCTCATTAAGTCCTATTGTTCTGCCCCAGGCTCAGAGGTGAGAGTGCAGTGCTTGGCCAGCTCACCCTGTACAGAGTAAGCTTACCAATTCCAGGGTCACTTTAGGAAGGTAAACATCTGCCCTCATTCAAACATCTGACAAGATGCCAAGTTCATGAGAAAGTTTAGCATCTCTCTCAGGTATGTTTCCTACACCTACTGGACAAGTCTATTTTCTTAGGAGCATAAGAAAAACAGGTGGGTCCAAGAGCAAGACCATCCAGCACAGCACTTTGTCTCTGATCAAGCACTAATGGGCAGGGTGAGAGGAAAAATCATGATAATGGAAGTATTTATAGAGTACTTACAGCTTTTATTAAATGCCTTCACATACAATTAAAAAGTATCAGAACCAAAGAAAACAACTTGAAATTGGAAAGTACACATGGGGAAAGAGACATCACAGAAAACATTGCAAGGAAATTAGAGATGAGAAATGTGGAATGCAAACAAAATGTAACAGGAATTATGAAAGAGGCAGATCATTGTAGCAGTGGAAAAATTCTATACCTTTGATTGTGGAGATGGCTACATGAATTCACACCTGTGATAAAATGACACTGAATTTTACCCTCACATACCCACAACAAGTTCCTGGTTGTGTCCCTGCTATAAAATGTCAGATATAACCACTGGGGGAAGCTGGGTCGGGTACATGGATCTCTCCATACTATCTTTGTAACTGCTTGTAGATCTATAATTATTCCAAAATAAAAAGTTCATAAAGGAAGAACTGAGAAAATAAATGCAGAAGTCAAGCAAAATAGTTCCCACATATACATCACCGGAGTTTGTGGGGGCAGTGGGGAGATGGAGTAAGAATAGTATTTTTAAAAATAATTTTAAAAAACTTTCCCTAAATAAAAGACTGCTTAAATCTACATATTGCAAGGTATGCTGTGACAGGGCAAAGTAACCATGACGAGTCAATACAGAGATACAGACTAATGAAATTACTAGGCTTGAAAGAAAAGCATTATTGTCCTAAGTTTACAAAAAGAGCAAGTCGATTCTGGGGCAAAAAGAGTTAGGGTTGTCTCCAATTTCCCTCCTACATTCCACAGAGACAGTAAAGCAATCCCTACAAAAAACTTGAGGGAAGAAAGTGTAAGTCAAAGATTTTAAACACAGCCATCCTGTCCTTTAAGTACAAAAGCCACAGTAACTTTGGAACACAACAGAGCCTAGGGAACATTGCTCCCTCAGTTCCTCTCTAAGCAAACTACTACAGAACATAATTCAGGAGACTGAGAGGAAGCACCTGATGGCAAGAACCATATACATTTAACTGTAGAACAAAAACTACACAAGTGTAGGATACAGTGATAAATCCAAATGTAAATGCAATGCTAACACAGAAATTACATAACTAAAAAAAAAAAGGAGAAAGGAGAAAAGGAAAGAACATGAGAATCAGTTCATTAACTGTCTCATTGGTAAATACATAGTACTATGGACTGAGTTGTCTCCTCAAATTCCTATGTTGAAGTCTTAATCCGCAAAAACCTCAGAATGTGCCTTATTTGGAAATGGAGTCATCATAGATATAATCAGTTAACATGAGGTCATAGTGGAGTAGGTTGGGCCCTTAATCCACCATGAATGATGTCCTTTGAGGAAGAGGGAAATTTGGACTCAGCCATAGGCTAAAAAAACCAGCATGTGAATAGAGGCAGAAATTAGAGTGATGCATCTACAAGCCAATGAACACCTAAGGGTACCAGAAGCTGGAAGGGACAAGGAAGGATCCCCCACTAAAGGCTTTAGAGAGAATATGGCCCTGTACTTCCAACCTACAGATTGTGAGAGAGTAAATTTCTATTGTGTTAAACTGCTCAATTTGTGGTAATTTGTTACAGCAGTCATGGGAATCAAAGAACAGCATTTAAAAGCTGGCAAAACAAGTGTCAGAAGTAGAAGAATATTTAACAGTACAAAGATAAACACTTAGGTAACTTTATAGACCAGTATTAGTGGGGAGATGAAGGAGAAAAATGTCTAGATGACATCAAAGACAACAAGTCATAGACAAATAACCTTCATATTTGACTGTGCTGGATGATCTCTAACGTCCTTTAGAATGTGAATTTAACTGTTAAATAAGTTGTGTATATGAAAGTTTTTCAAAATTAGGTAGGTAGAAAGAGTCTTTGAAACAGGAAAAAATAAAGTTCTCCACTAATATTAGCTCTAGCTTCCCCATATCATTTCAGATAAATATGCAAAAACTTCGGTGGCACTTTGGGAAACACTCAATAGGTAATTCTGAAATAAAATTCAATATTTTCCACAATACTGAACATTTTTGATAATTTCACTGCTTAAGTGAATTTTTGTTTATTAAAATCTCTCATTAGGGAAACGCCTTTTATAAAAGGTCTTTATAATATAACAAGAGAAAAAATTCATAAATGTAATATACTTTCTGTGTGGCAAAAAATACAAGCAAAAAAAAGAAAAACTTCTGAAGACTAGCAACTGTAACTCATCACAAAGGACTGTTCATTCTAACATATCAAGGGTTCATAGAAATGGAGACATAGACTAACAATCCATGAAAAAACAGGCAACAAATATGGATATTTGATAGAAAGGGAAATACAAATATGGAGGAAGATGCTCATCTCGACTCTTAAAAATAGGAATTAAAATTGTACTGATATACCAGTTTCTTCACCTAACAGATTATCAACACTCAAGAAGTTTTGTAAATATTCTCTTGGTGAGGCTGTGGGAAAACGGGCTCCCTCCTAAACTGGTGGTAGGAAAATTAAATTCACATAATTGCTATAGAGGGTGTACTAATTTAATATGAACATGAATGCATACCCTCTTTGACCTGCAATCTCATTTCCAGGAATTTGAATATAATAGAGGAGTACATAAATAACCTTGTATAGCAAACAAAAGAAGCATGTAAAGGACCCTACACTGAGATGACAGTAAGACCATATATTCGTATTTGCTTATACATGCATCAAGAAATTCTACGAGAATACCTAAGAAACTAATAGCAGCAATTCCCTGGTGAGGGTATTGGGGAACTAGGCAGAGGAGAGACTAGAGAAGGGAGGGAAATAAACACACGTGCCTGCATATCTATATAAATATTCATATACACATATGATAAAGCAGTCAATTTACATTGTTTTACACATACATATACACACACACACACTCATGTATATAATTTTTGAACAATGCTAATATAGCATTTTTGAAAAAATTTTTATATTTTAAGAAGTTCTTACAAGTTGAAAGTTAAGTTAGTTTATAGCTTGGGTTAAAACTTATAAAATATTAGGATTCTTATTCTAACCCTTGAAAAGGTATTTAACAATCTCATTAGTATTAATTGCACATTAATACTTAAGATAAAAAAATGTTCACACTTCTAAGTTATTTAAAATGCTAAGAAGAACAGTGAGATGGACACTCCGATCATACATTGATGGTAAGAGTGCAAGTCTTTTAAGAGCCTTTTAGGAAATAACTGGTAATACAGACAGCCTTAAAACATTCTTATTTCTAACTTGGTAATTTCACTTCTAGGTATCTATCCTAAGGAAATCAGGCAAAATACAGAAAAAATTTTTATAAGCAATGCTGTTCATCTCAAAATCATTAAAATGGCAAAAAGCAGTAAAATACAGTAAGTATCTACTACTATCCACCAAAAGCATCAAAGAAACCATGACAAATTACTCAGTCTGTACTATTACTAATTTTCATTTAAATACAGGGAATTATCTTAAGTGAAAAAAGCAGAGTATAAAGATTTGCACAGAAAAATGGCTTGAAATTCACAAAATACTTACACTGGTTACCTCTGAGAGATGATAGTACCGATGATCTCCTTCTTTATACTTTTTCCCAGTTTTCCTATATTGAGTATGTATTTTTATTAAAAAAAAAAGGTAAGCACCTACCCTGAAAAACTTGTTCCAGAAATTTCACTAGGAGAAGAGTGACTCAGTGGAGAAGTAGAAGGTCTGAAACTATTCTGGTCGTCCTCTGAGCCACACTCAGGAGAGGGATTTTTCAAATCTATCAGAAAAGGTGAATTTTACAATGAGAACAGAAAGAAAAACACTCTGCAGTTTTGTAAATGTGATCAATTACTCTGACACTTACCAACTTTTTTAGGTGAGGTTGTGGAATGTTTTTCAAAAGTCACCTGCTTTTCACTGTTGCTTGTCTCATTGACACATTCATCCTGCCTCTGATTTTCTCTATTATTTTCTATTTCTTCATTCTCTTCTGACAGCCAAAGGGAGGCTCTTCTGAAGTCCCTCACTAATGAGTAGCTCTTAGATGTTGGAGTAGATACTGCGGTAGCTTTTTCACTGTTACCAGCATCTGTTAATTTGTTGTCAATGGAATGTGTGTTCACATCAACTACTGTACTCTCACTCTCTGTTGTATTTATAAGAACTGAATTTGAAGACTTTGTTGCTCTAAATGATTCCTGGTTCTTGTTCTCTCTGTTTTTACCATAAAAAATAGCTGCTGTAGTTTCTTCTGGTTCCCTTACACTTACATTAGTAACATCTAAGTCCACTGTATGGATGACTTGTGTAGTCTGTTCTTTCGGCAAAGATAAATCCCAAATATCAGACACACCAGCTCTTGAAAAGTTTTCCAGTCCACCTTCATATCCACTAACTTCCGTCTTTTTAAGGTATTTCTCCATATCAAATGTATTGGATCCATTACTTTTTTCTAAATTATTAGGTAAGAAATGAGACACAAGGGGACAGTCGTTTTGTTTCTTATCTTCCTGCAAAGTCTCCACTCTGGTTTTATTTGAAAGTGACTTGATCATAGCAGCAAGTTGAGAAGGATCAGTACTCAGTGATGCATTTGCAATGGCTGAAGCAATGGTGCTTATCCTAAGTACAGAATCACCAGCATTAGGGAGCTTGTCTTTGTATCTTTGGGGTTTGCTATTCATGAAGAAAGTATCCTAGAAATGAGAAAATTTACATCAGATAAATTTCCCTCAGTTCTAAGGACATGTACATCTTTGTTTAATCTTTATAAATGCTACATAAGATTTAATAGCAGCAAGAAATTAATGGTATATCAGTTAAATATCCTAATGAAAGAAGATAGCTGTTACCAACTTTAATTGTAGAGTACTGATTTACTTACTAAATGAGATGATCAATTATTAAAAAAAAAAAAACCTGAGAGTTAAAGAAGTGCTAAAAATGAATCAAAGAATAATTTAAAGCCATAAAATTAAGATACTGATATTGAGAAGTCATTAAGCCACTATAATTACAAGTATAATTCTTGGCAATTTCATTCAATTGTTAGATTTATAAGCCAGACATATATAGGAACCATGGGTAAAAGACTGAAATGTAAACAAGGTAACAAACCTATTTAATATTAAAAAATACAAGTTAAGTTGTACACCAGAAATCAATACTGTATATACCAACTTCAGGAAAAAAAAAAAGAGGCTTGTCCTTCTGGACTTGAGCATTTTGCCTAAGACTCAGGAATATTAGGATATAAGGGGCAGGAATCATTTGTCATTCTTTATACATTGAGAGTATGCCTCGGGAGGGGCAGTGGGGGAATATGCAAGTTAATACTTCTGCCTCCTGTTAATGGCAGACTAAGTGATGCAAACTAACTCCTGCTGAGAGCAAAGAGAACTGGACAGCATATCCAAAAACCTGACTTAGAAAGCACTGGAGAGCTAAAAAAAAGTATTGAAATAACAATGGGACCAAAATCTGAGAAAAGAAGGAACCCCAGAAAGGTAGGCCCAATACTGGGGATACTTTTTCCCAGGGGAATCTGCTGCTTCAAGAAGAGGCTGCTGCTAAAACTTCACGAAGAGGCTAAGCTAAGATGTTCTTATGGCAGGAAAGGTATGAACATCGAGTTCACAGTCCACCAGTGATGAGGGGTTTGGGGTAGCCACAGTAAACATCTATGCTTTAGGATGAGACTTCAAAGGGCTACAAACTGGCTACAAATTAGGCTGCTCTCCTAAGGACTGAAGCCCAGCTGCAACCAGCCCTACCCGTTACTGGGCTAAAGTGATCAGAGATCACCAGTGTTCCTCGTTCCCTGTCAGAAGCAAACACAAATCCTGTCTGGAAGATGGTATCTCCATGGCCTCAAATTATTTCAACTTTTCCTGTAAAAGTCCACCCCTTAATCAATTAATGACACATGATGTCCCACCCATGTCTGTGTCCAAATGCCAGAGAAACAGTCATGGGTGTGTATAGACAATGAAGTTATTAAAATCTAAAACATACATCTAAAACATAAAATCTAACATAAAACCTAAAACATACTTAAGGAAATAGAAGACAAAATTGAGGGCTCAACAGAGGCCTAGAAATTATAAAGAAACAAACTAAATATAAATTCCATTAACTGAAAAATACAGTTATAAATTAAGAACCTAAGGGATGGGTTTAACAGAAAATTGGATACAACTGAAAAAAAGAATCAGAGTTGGAAGAGAAGTCCAAAAAAAAGAGGTCTCCAGAATGAACCATAAAAGAGAAAGTAACAAAATACAGAACAGAAAGAACATTTCAGAAAAAAGGGATACCCTGAGAAAGTCTTCCATATTTGTGACTGAACTCTGAGGAGAAAAGCCGAGAGGAAATGGAGTAAAAATTATATTTAAAGAGATAATTGCTGAGAATTTTCTAAAACTTGTGAAAGTCAACAATCCAAGGTTTAAGAAGACCCCAAAGTCCCCAAGCAGGATGGAACAAAAGATACCTAAGCACATGATTAAGACGGATAAAAACGGAACAAAGAAAAAAATTTAAATGTAGCTAGAGAGAATAAGATTCATTACTTTTAATGAAGTTAACAGTAGACTGACAGCAACTTTTAAAATATCATAATGTGAAATAATATATAGAAATTGCTAAAAGTTGTTTGTAATATGGAAGTCAGTATCACATAAAAATATACTTCAAGAATGAAGATGAAGAAGATATTTTTAGAGGCACAAAAAACAGAATTTATGACCAGCAAACCCTTTTTAAAAGAAGCAATTAGGAGTATTTTTCAAGCAAAAGGAAATTAACCTCAGATGAAAGGTCAGAGAAGCATACTGACTGTATTAATAATAGTAATCACCATAATCATCATCACAATGTGGGGTTTAAATAGAGAATTAAGGTATAAAAAAATAGTAGCTTGTAAGACTAAAGTGGAATACACTGAATGTTTTAAGACCTTGTAATGCTAAGAGGTAGAATAGCAAAAAAACCAAAAAGCTGAATTTTTATTAAACTTTAGTAAGTGAAGGAGACACGTCATGATACCCTGAGTGATCACTAAAATAACAGGAAAAGAATATGTAAAAACCAGATTAACAGAAGGAGAAAACTAAAATATAAAATACTTCAATGACCCAAAAGAATACATAAACGAAAAAGAAAAAAGTCCAGGTGAAACAGACAGAAAGTCAATAAAGCAGATCCAAACCCCCATACACTGGTAATTCCATTACACTTAAGTAGCAAAAGATTTTGAGACTGGTTGAAAAATAAAATCCAACTCTATGTTCTTTTAAAAGAAACATCTAAAATAAAAGGATATAGAAAGGTTCAAAGTAAAATAATAGGAAAAGGTATAATAGGCAAACACTAAATAAAGCTGGCGTTATGTTACTATCAGACTAGACTTAATTCATAAAGCTAACTACAAAGAGAGTCACACACGACGATAAAAGGATCAGTTAACCAGAGAATAATTCTAATTTGTATGTACCTAAAAATACAGGATCAAAATCTTTAAATATTGATAGACTCATAACAAATAACAAACCCACAATCATAGTGTGAGATTTCAATAACTAACTGAAAGAACAAACACAATAAGTTTAACACAGTTTGACATTCATGATTTAAAAATTTCACTGAAATGAAATTTACACAAGAGGGCAACCAATAGTCACACCACAAACATTCCTCCCACATGCAGAGAAAACATTTTCAAAAACTGAATGAATGCTGAGCCATGTATCAGGCCTCAACAAATTTCAAAAGACTAAAACCAAAAGTTTTCTGATTACTGTACTACAGGCCTAGAATTAGTATTTTAAAATTTGGAAAATCCCCAAATGTTTGGAAGCTAAGTAATGTACTTCCAAAAACCTATGGGCCAGAGAAAATAGAAAATACATTGAATGGAATGACAATGAAAATATGACATTAAAACAGACAGGATTAAAAAAAAGAAAGTATGAGATGCTATAAAATTCCTGCTCTCTGTGAAATTCATACCATCAGATGCTTATATAAGAAGAGCAGAACGGGAGAAAGATGGAAATGTAAGAAAACCTATGGAGGGAACCATATGGCAAGGCCCTGAGAGGGGACTCCCTGAGTTGAAAGCAATCGTCAACTGACAGCTAGCAAGAGAATACAAATTTAGTTCTATAATGCAAAAAAGTTAAACCTGTTAAAAACCTGAGGGACTCAGAAATGAATCCTCTCCTCATTAAGCCTCCATATGGGAATACAACTGGTCAATACCTTCATTTCAGCCTATGAGATCCTGAGCAGAGGGCTCAGCTAAAATGTGTCAGACTGCTGACCCATGGAAACTTAAATTTAAGAAAGAAACTTTTTAATTGAAGAATAGTTGACATACAGTTTCAGGTGTACAACATAGTGATGTACCAGTTATATTACAAAATGCTCACCACACAGTTACTATGTCTCATCATACCGAGGTATTATAACATTATTGACTACATTCGTAAAAGAAAAAAAAAAAAGAAGAGCAAGCAGAAAGGCAGAAAAATTAAACTAAGCATTTGTCACAAGAAGTTAAAAAACAATTTAAATCCATAGAGTAGAAGGAAGGAAATAAAGACCAAAGAGTATGAAATAGAAAACAGAGAATAAGATTTTAAAATTAATAAAATTGAGAAATACTTGGTATGACTGACCAAGAAAGGCAGAATAGTCAATATTAGAAATAATAAAGAAGACATCCTTTAAGAACCTAACATGTTAAATAATCACAAGACAATATTATAGACAAAATTATGGTGATGTATTTCAAGTTTAGATGAAAGATTACAATTCTTGGAAAACTGCAATTGACCAAAACTGATACAAAAAAATTTAAGCCTCATCATAGTCCTATAAGTGTTAAAGAAATTGAATCTGCAATTGAAAAAGAATTAAAGAAATTTCCAGAATCAGATGATTTCATCAATATCTTCTACAAAAATTAAAAGAAAAATACAGTTGGTCCTTGAACAACATGGTTTTGACCTATGTGGATCCACTTATACACAGATTCTTTTAAAAAAGTATACTGGAAAGTTTTTTGGAGATTTGCAACAATTTGAAAAGACATTTTATTTTCTCTTACTTTATTGTAAGAATACAGTATATACTATATGCAACATGAAATATGTGTTAACTATTTATATTATCAGTAAGGCTTTTTGGTCAACAGTAGTAAACAGTAGTAGTTACAGTCAAATAGGCTATTAACAGTTAAGTTTTGGGGGAAACAAAAGTTATATGCAGATTTTTGACTGGACAGGGTATCAGCATCCTTAACCCCCATGTTGTTCAAGGGTCAATTGAAGTACCAATCTTACAAAAACTCTTTCAGAAAATAGAAAAAATGAGAGCAAAAACCTTGATATCAAAACCAAACAAGGGCATTGTAAGAAAGGGCATTCATTTTACAAAGACAGATACAACTGAATCCAGTTATCTATAAAAAGGATAATGTATCGTGACCCAGGTGAGGTTTAATTCCAAGTGCAGAAGAACAGCTTAATATTCAGAAACCATTTCATGCAACTGACCACTTATCTATCGAAAGAAGAGAAGTAGTTCATATTTTCCTTGACAGATGCAAAAAAGCATTTGACAAGATTCAACCTTGTCTTTAACCTTTACAAGTTAAAAACAAAACTAGCAAACAAATATGAAAAGGGAAATTTAAAAATCGGATGAAAAATAAAAATCTACAGCGTATGTTGAATTCAGATAAAACGTTGAAAATGCATCAGAAAAACCTGACATCAACTCTTCTATTCAACACTGTTCTAAGGTACAGTCAAGTAGGGCCAGACAAAGGAACATAACTGTTGTTACTCTCAGATGATACAACTGCATACTCTGAAAAACCCAAAGAATCTACAGGTAATTTATTAGAATTAATAGTAAATCAAGCATGGTTGACAGATATATGGTGAGTACATGTCTGTCTGTTTAGCCACAAAAAATGGGAAAATGAAGAAATACTTAAATACTATTTCTACAATGTAGGAAAATCTGCACAAAATTTATACACCAAAAAAATCATAAAATAGAAATTAAAACTAAACAGAGGGATATGCAATTTTCACAGATTAAAAGATTTAATACTATAAAGATATCAATTTTACTGTTCTATAGGTTAAATGTGACCCCAATTAAAAGCTCAACAGAGCTGCTGATTTTAAAATATATATGGAAATGCAAAAGGCCAAGAATAGCAAAGATACTTTTAAAGAAAAATAAGAGGGGAGGATTTAAGCTACTAGATACTAAGACTTACTATAAAGCTAAACTACCTTATACCAGTGTCATACTGACATAAGATAGACCCCAAATGTCCATCAACAATAGAATGGATTTATCAACTGCAGAATATTCATATAATAGAACAATAACAAACATATTTAATGACATAGTTGCATCTAGCAAATGTAAGTGAAAAATATCAAAGAAAAGAATACATCCTACATGATTTTTTGTGTACAAAGTTCAAAAACAGGTAAAAGTAATACAGCATTAGAGGTGAGACAGGAGGGAGCAGTGGTGGTGGTAGGTAGGAGGAGGACAAAAAAAGGTGGTTCCTGGGCTGTTGGGAATGCTCTTTTTTGACAGGTATATATACGTTTTGATAACTCAACTGACTCTAAGTTTGTTAAACAAACTTTTGTATGTTTTATTATATGTTAATAAAAATGTTTAAAAAAATGTAAAGGACATCTGTAGTAAAATTGATTTAAAAAATACAACCATTACACCTCATTTATTTTTCATATGTGACTTTATTTTGATCTTATGGAAGAACACAACAACATGGGTTTTGCTTTCCTTCATAAAAGATTTTAAGATACCTCTGTTTTGCCTTTATTCGCAGCTAATGTCACATCATTTTCATCTGCTTGTGAAATGCTCTCCAGTTCTTCAGCCTGAAGTGTAATTGATCCTTCACTTAGTTGTGCCTTTAAATCTCCTATAGGAAATACACAGTTATTCAACTTTCATCTATACATTATTTCACAGAAACAAGTCGTGGGATAAGGATCACTCAACATGACTACTTGCCAAGAAAGAAGTCTTTATACCCTAAGGATCAGATATCCTCACAAAAACTGTTCAAATGTACAGTCACTAGGACAAAGGATCATAGCAGTGTTAATATGGCTCAATTCTGCAAAGTCTAAACTTTGAAGAAGATTGTGAATTTTAATCTCTTCTTTGAAAATACAAACTCATTTAAAACTTTCAGCTTTAAACATTTCACAAATAAATAAGCTGAATTAAAAAATGAGTCCTTCTTTACAATAATTGGAAATCATCCACTCCAAAACTACTAGATCTAATATCTGAATTCAGCAAAGTTGCAGGATACAAAATTAATATGCAGAAATCTCTGGCATTCCTATATACTAACAATGAACTAGCTGAAAAAGAAATCAGGAAAACAATTCCACTCAGAATTGCATCAAAAAGAATAAAACACCTAGGAATAAACCTAACCAAGGACATGAAAGACCTATACTATGAAAACTACAAGACACTCATGAGAGAAATTAAAGAAGATACTAATAAATGGAAACACATCCTGTGCTCATGGATAAGAAGAATTAATATTGTCAAAATGACCATCCTGTCTAAAGCAATCTAGATTCAATGCTATCCTTATCAAAATACCAACAGCATTCTTCAATGAACTAGAGCAAATAATTCTAAAATTCATATGGAACCACAAAAGACCCAGAACAGCCAAAGCAATCCTGAGAAGGAAGAATAAAGCTGGGGGGATAATGCTCCCGACTTCAAACTCTACTACAAAGCCACAGTAATCAAGACAATTCGGCATAAGAACAAAACCATAGACCAATGGAAGAGACTAGAGAGCCCTGATATAAACCCAACGATATGTGGTCAATTAATATACGATAAAGTAGCCATGGACATACAATGGGGAAATGACGGCCTCTTTACCAACTGGTGTTGGCAAAACTGGACAGCTACATGCAAGAGAATGAAACTGGATTATTGTTTAACCCCATATACAAAAGTAAACTGAAAATGGATCAAAGAAATGAATATAAGTCATGAAACCACAAAACTCTTAGAATACAACATAGGCAAAAATCTCCTGAATATAAGCATGAGCAACTTCTTCTTGAATGCATCTCCTCGAGCAAGGGAAACAAAAGCAAAAATGAACACATGGGACTATATCAAACTAAAAAGTTTCTGTACAGCAAAGGACACCATCAACAGAACAAAAAGGGACCCTACAGTATGGGAGAATATATTTGTAAATGACATATCCGACAAGGGGTTAACATCCCAAATATATAAAGAGCTCACATGTCTCAACACCCAAAGAGCAAATAACCCGATTAAAAAAAGGGCAGAGGATATGAAGAGACAATTCTCCAAAGCAGAAATTCACATTACCAACAGACACATGAAAAGATGCTCCACATCACTAATCATCAGGGAAATGCAAATTAAAACCACAATGTTATATCACCTCACATCAGTAACGATGGCCAGCATCGAAAAGACTAAGAACAACAAATGCTGCCGAGGATGCGGAGAAAGGGCAACCCTCCTACAACAGCTGGTGGGAATGTAAGCTAGTTCAACCATTGTGGAAAGCAGTATGGAGGTTCCTCAAAAAACTAAAAATAGAAATACTATTTGACCCAGGAATTCCACTCCTAGGAATTTACCCTAAGAAAACAGGATCCCAGATTCAAAAAGACATATGCACCCCTTTGTTTATTGCAGCATTATTTACAATAGACAAGATATGGAAGCAACCTAAGTGTCCTTCAGTAGATGAATGGATAAAGAAGATGTGGTACATACACACAATGGAATACTATTGAGCCATAAGAAAGAAACAAATCCTACCATTTGCGACAACATGCATGGATGGAGCTGGAGGACATTATGCTCAGTGAAATAAGCCAGGCAGAGAAAGACAAGTGTCAAATGATTTCCCTCATTTGTGGAGTACAACAACGAAGCAAAAGTGAAGGAACAAAATAGCACCAGACTCTCAGACTCCAAGAAGGGAGTAGTGGTTACCAAAGGGGAGGGATGTGGGAGGGGGGGTGGTAAGAGAGGGAGAAGGGATTGATGGGTATTATGTTTAGTATACATGGTGTTGGGGGTCATGGGAAAAACAGTGTATCACAGAGAAGGCAAACAGAGAATCTGTGGCATCTTACTACACTGATGGACAGTGACTGCATTGGGGTATGAGTGGGGACTTGATAATATGGGTAAATGTCACATTGTTTTTTTATGTGAAACCTTCATAAGAGTGTGTATCAGTAATACCTTAATAAAAAATTGTAAAAAAATTGGAAATCAACTACTTACACCCATATAGCCTCTTTCTACCAACTCCTCTATTGGAATACAGGCTCTTTAAGAACTGGAGTATATCCTGAACAATTTTATATGATATGTAGCACCCTGCATTGTACTCCCAAAAAGAAGCTATTCGATAATTTCCTGTTAACCAAGACTGATTTTAAATATTTATGATAGATATTTATCATATTTAGACAATCATAGCCCAAATCTCAAAACACCTCTTTAACGAAGTAAAGCTAAGTAATAAATATAACAGCTACAATTTATTAACTCAGTAGTTTGTTTAATAGGCTAAAGTTGGCTAGTCCATTTGAACAAAATATTTATCATTTACTTTGTATTTTACAAAACGAGTTAGGTGGATTTTGGTTGACTTGTTTCCATTTCAGAGCAATGTGGGGTTATATAGGAATCAAATCTGTAACTAATACTAAAACAATTAAAGTGGTATATACATTTTCACTTATAAAGAACATGATCATACAGCCACATTACAGGTTAAAAAAAATTACTATAACCTCCTTTATTTAATCCATTACCTGGAAATAGATCATGGTTAAGAGGAGCCATTTCTTTTTCAAAATTACTTCTTGATACATCAGATTTTCTTATTAAAGCAACAGGTTCTCTCTTCTCTGGTGATCTAATAAAATAACCAAACGAGGGCTACAAAACAAACAGGTGAATTACCTCCTTAATTTTCCACTGCTTTGAGAAATTCTAGAAATATTTTAGTACTGGTAACCTAGCTAAATGACTTAAAAAAAATTCTGATTTTTTCATTTAAATTTAAATTACTAGAGATGAACTTCATATAGAATCTCTTACCTCTTCATTACTAGCTATTTTTATCATCAGAACTAATGCTGTCAAATAAATTGCCTTTACTAAGAAATCCACATTAAAACAATCCAGAAATGACTTCTTACTTCAGTAATTATTACTGAGCACCTACTATGTATCAGGCACTGTTAATAATCATGACTGACAAGAAAAAAGATAAAATTTCCTGCCTTTTTGGAACTTACTGCATAAGGCTACTTTATTTTACACAATAAATACGTCCCCCAAAATCTGTATTAAGATTAGGTATATTCCTACTGACTTGGATGAAAGTTCAGAAAGGTTTATCCCTGCTAATGTGCAGGGATTCCCACTTGTCTTTCCTATAGAATTTTCACATGAAAGACCTGAAAAGTGAATTCCTTAAATGCACTCAATGTTCAATTGATCTTCACCTGGGAATTTCTCCCCTCAATCCAGCAACTTGAATGCATAACTAATATGAAAACAGAAATCCCAAACGATAGGTCTGCATTTCAGTGACCCAGTTCTTTGTTCATCTGTTAGTAAGGATTTCAGTTACTCTTCTACTCCTCTCTTGATGCAAACCCCATTGATCCAGTCAGAAAAGCCTACCTCTCGAACAGATTTATTTCAATACAACAGGACCCACAGTTCAGTGTCAGTTCTATAAATCAACTGTTAGTTCTAACATCATTGCTATTATTTCAAAGTACACTCTTAGTGAAATTGGTTTTAATGAACAATCTCTCCATAACCCTAACTCCTGATATGGAATTTATCAACAAGTCTTTTGACTTTATCTCTAAAAGATATCTTGAATCTTCTGATTTTTCTGTTTCTGTACTATCAGCATTGATCCTGGCCTTTGCCACCTTTTTTCCTAAGTACTAAGCCTCCGCTGCCTTTGTGGTTCCCCAACCTTTCCCACCCAGGCTCCTTATATGTGGTGGTATCCTGTCCGTCACACTTGGACATGGGCCCAGGCACCACAACAAAGTTGCCCCCTGCCTCCAACCATTTCTTCCCAGCTCATCTGCAATGATCCCAAGTCCTATAGGACCCCTTGTGATCTGGCCCTTGTCTACCTCTACCATTAAACCACCTCCCACCCCCATTCCCATTAGCTCTATGGGCTTGCTTTCTGTCCTCCAGTATGCAGCTCTAGTTCCTACCTCTTGGCCTTCACATGTGGCCTCCCTTTGCTGTGAACACTCTTCCTCCAGATCTTTGGCGGCTGCCTCCTCATTATTTAGGTCCCACTACCATCTTCTCAGATGTCACCCTGATCATCAAAGCTAAAGCAGCTCCTCCCCCTCATTCTTAATAGACCTTATCACTATCACTTGCATTAAAAATTTTTTAAATATGTATTACATCTTATTAAACCAAAACACTCCTATACTTCAAAACAAGTTTTTAGACAAAATATTAAAAAAAAAATGAACCTCTGAATTCTTCCCATCAACCAGTGATATAGCAATACCAACAGCAACTAACAGATACTGAATATTTACTGCAAGTTAGACTTGGTGCTAAATGCTTTACATGCACCATTACATTTAATTCTTATAAAACCCTACGAAATGGCATACATTTCAGAAGTTGGAAAATTAAGGTATAAAGGACTTAAAGGAATTGCTCCATGTCACAGAACTAGTTAAAAGGCAGAGCTAGGACTGGAGTCAGGGTCTGACCAACTATAAAACCTAAGCTTTTACCACTATTCTATCACATCCCTATTCTGTCTCTGTTTTAAAGATACTATGCTCTAGCTATGCCACCATAACATTTCAAAGAGAAGGGCTAATGAATGTAACCACTTTAAGCACATATCATACTTACTCTTTTCACATTGTAGCCACCACCAAGGCAACCAAGAGCTTCAGATCTTTGAGCAAAGAACTCTCCTAAAGATAGGCGCAAATAACTGGCATCATCTTTGTCCAGATCTGATGTGCTAAGTGACTTCCTCAACAAATTGTAATTAATTGAAGCTCCCCATGATGTATCATCTAGTGCAACTGAAGTGTTCTGGGCATCTATATATTCTTCCTAGGAAGAAAGTTATTGTTTCATTTTATTACTACAGCAAGTTTCTTTCTATTCTTCTAATACGCAAAATTTAAAGATTTAAACAATTTTTAAGTATTTGGACAAACTCAAGTTTAAGCAGCTAATAAAGGTAATGAAGTCCAAAGATGAGGAACTCCTTTTTTTAATACTTGAGTTCTAATATACATTGTTTTAATATATTGCTTAATCACAATATGGAGGTTCCTCAAAAAACTAAAAATAGAAATACCATTTGACCTAGGAATTCTACTCCTAGGAATTTACCCAAAGAAAACAAGATCCCTGATTCAAAAGACATATGCACCCCTATGTTTATCGCAGCACTATTTACAATAGCCAAGATATGGAAGCAACCTAAGTGTCCATCAGTAAATGGATGGATAAAGAAGATGTGGTACATAATACACAATGGACAATTATTCAGCCATAAGAAAACAAATCCTACCATTTGCAACAACATGGATGGAGCTATAGCATATTATGCTCAGTGAAGTAAGCCAGGCAGAGGAAGACAAGTACCAAATGATTTCACTAATTTGTGGGAGTATAACAACAAAGCAAAACTGAAGGAACAAAACAGAAGCAGACTCACACACTCAAAGAAGGGACTAGTCGTTACCAAAGGGGAAGGGTTGGTGAGGGCAAGTGGGGAGGGAGGGAGAGGATGATTGAGGAGCATTATGACTGGCACACACACTGTGTGTGGGATCATAGGGAAGACAGTGTAGCACAGAGAAGACAAGTAGTGACTCTGTGGCATCTTACTATGCTGATGGACAGTGACTGTGGTGGGGTGTAGGGGGGAACTTGATAATATGGGTGAATGTAGTAACCACAATTTTGCTCATGTGAAACCTTCGTAAGATTGTATATCAATACCTTAATAATAAATAAATAAATAAATAAATAAATAAATAAATAAATAAATAAATAAAGGGTGGAGCCAGATCTCTCTCTCTCTCTCACACACACACACAC